ACGGGTGGGTACAAATAAATTTTGAGCCTTTATCCTTTGTTTCTTGAACCGTGAACCAGGCCACGTTATAACCCTTAAAAGTCCTAGCTGAAGCATGGGTTAGTTCGAAAGCATACTGTTACAAAAGGTATCCTGACTCCTGTAGGACTTGCTGTAAATCCTGAGTTGACATCACATTTTACAAAATTTTGCCTGTTTTACTGAAAAATGCATTTTCAAAAATTTCAAGACAGACATAAGCTTTATATTCTTAAAATATTATTGTTTGCATATGACTATTTGTTCAACAGCAGATAAATTCGCATGACGAATATCTAGTGAACAAAAACCTTCTCAATAAAAAGGATCACCTCAAGTGGAAAAACGCTTCTAACCAAGGGGCACGGCATGATCATCGTCCATCATCTGGGGCAGTCAAGTCAATATTCAAGGAATCTCTCAAGGATGCCAAATAGCCAGGGGCAGATCTCCATCTGAATCACTTGGGGAATTCGACATGAATTCCGATAACGAATCCTGTACGATAAAACAAACATCTTTTGGCAGTGTGGAAACACTTACTACTATGGACAGTGACAACTCCCTACACCCTGAGAGCATGGACATAGTCAGAAAATACTACGCATGAACAAAGACCCGCTAGGTTGACTGGCCTAGGCAAAAATAAGGGCATCCAGGAAAACCAAAAGGGTTAGAGCAAAAATTAGGGATAAAAAATGAAAAATCTGTACACCTGGCAAGTCGAAAACCCGAAAGGGCGGCTTGGGTAAAAAAGGGTATCCCGGTGGACTGAAAATCTAAAAAGACAGTCCAGGCAAAAGTTAGGGATTAAAGCGTATGAATATGTCCCGTTATCTTGTCACTTTCCTACCAGAAGAAGACTTATCATTCCGATCGGTAGTTACCAAGCACCTCATAAGTTGGGATGACACTCAATCCACAAGGCCTCCGCAGGCACTTTCTCCAGCAGGTACAAGGGCAGAAAAGTCTTGATACGAAGTCATTGTTATATCCTCAGCATGCATCCCAGTAATATACACTCCCCGCAGAGTAAAAGGTATCTAAAAACATTGAGTCTCCCTAAGCAGAGTTCATATATCACCAACAATGGAAGACTATCCCCAGTGGAGTTTATTTCTTCCACATACAGTAATTCATCCCCAGCCGAGTTTTATAACCATGAGCAGTTTATAAAGCCATCTCCCGAGCAGAGTTTATTTCTCTGATAGTGGAAGCTCAATCTCCAACAGAGCTCTTCTCTCCAGCAATGAAAGTTAATCCCCACCTGAGGTTATTTCTCCAAATCAGCAAATCTTCTAGCAGAGCATCTCTCTTCCCCACAGAGTCATTCTCTCGCCAATTTATTCTCAAATCAACTTCGGTCGTTAACCCCAGCGAGAACGAAGAACTCAACTCCTTGTACTCTCTAGCAGTAATCCGAGATTTATTTTCCCCAGCTAGAAAACATCACGAGAAGTTTTGCATATCCATACATCATGGCATGCGCATACGCATCATACAGCACAATCTCATTTATTTTGAGAGCATCATTACTCGATACATGTCATATATTATGACATTACATATGACTAACTCTTTACTTTCCGGGGAGAGATACAATCAAATTCTCACAAGTTTCTCTGGTTCAGTCAAACCGATGCTGAGATTTCTATTCCAATTCAAGCTATGAAGCCCGGATCCGACCAGATAATATCTTGATTTCTCCATCATACTGCGAAGCCCGGAGATCGACCGGATAACAGTACCAAAATACCGCGAAGCCTGGAATCTACCAAGTAGTGGTTTATCTTAAGTTCAAGCTATGAAGCCCGAATTCAACCGGATAACAGTTTAATCCCCAGCAAGTTATTGTGAAGCCTGGAGAACGACCAAATAGCAATGTAAGTTACTGTGAAGCCTGGATTACGACCAAATAGCAGTACAAGACACCATGAAGCCTGGAATCGACCAAATAGTGGCATGTCATAAACACAAGCCGTGAAGCCTGGAAATCAACCGGATAACAGCTTAGCAAGATATTGTGAATCTTGGATTACGACCAGATAGCAATACAAGATACCATGAAGCCTGGACTCGACCAGATAATGGTATGAGACATCGTGAAGCCTGGATTACGACCAGATAGCGGTAAAAGACACTGAAGCCTGGATTACGACCAGATAACAGTAAGGGACACTGTGAAGCTTGGATTTCGACCAAATAGCAGTTTACCCGGCCAATTACCATGAAGCCCGGAAATCGACCGGATATTAGTAGGCCTTAAAGTCAAATGGAAGCCCGGATGCGACTGGATAACCACTTGATTTCTTCTGAAGCCTGGAATATGACCAGATAAGAAGTAAGGTATTGTGAAACCAAATAGCAGTTTACCTGGACAATTACTAAGAAGCCCGAAGTCGACCGGATATTAGTGTGCCCTAAATTCAAGTTGAAGCCCGGATGCGACCGGATAACAACTTAATTCCTTCTGAAGCCTGGAGTACGACCAGATAAGAATTGAGAAATTGCAAAGCCTGGATTACAACCGGATAGAAAGTTTAATCTCATCCCCCCAGTAAGCCACTGTAAATCCTGGAGCACGACCAGATAGCAGTCGATCTTATTTTCCTTAGTAAATCACTATGAATCTTGGAACACGACCAGATAGCAGTTCGTTTTCACCTCCTCGACTAAGAGATGATTCCCTAGTAGAATAACGGACGACTGAAGCTCCTAAAATTCTATTTCTCTCAAGACAGAGGCTATCACTCCCCAGCGTAGTCCTCCTTAACAACAGGTATACGGGCTCTCACAAAGGAATCTCTTGTGCAATCGACATTTCTTCTGATAGCATCTTTAAGCCCATCTTTTGACATCAACCTCCAAATGACATCTGTAAGCCCATTCCCGATACTACCTACATAGTCAAGCATCATTACAGACGAGTGCAAATTTCTGGGCACTCTAATGTTCAATCATCTTCCACCTTCAGATCACGAAAGGCAAACGAGCCAATCTAAATCTTCAGGTTTAAGAAGATTGAACAGGGGCAGCTGTTGTACCCCAAAAGTTGCCCTCTTTTCATACACGCTTATTGGTTTTATGGTTATGGAATAAAGGTATATTTATCAAGCTTCTTCAGGTTACAAGTGATGTTTTTTCGTCAATGGATATTCTCAGAGTATTTTCCGTGCTGAAGATCGGTTCGCCGTTTTGCAACGATTCGGGGTTCAAAGATTCACAAGTCCAACCCGACGTGTCATATTCAGGTGTTCTTTCACCAAGATATCTCTGATAACGTATTCTCAAATTCAGGTTCAGCTCAAGAGTCAATTCTTTAAAGAAGGTATCCAAATGTGTGAGTTTTCTCGAAGAAATGTGGTGAAAAAGTGTGCTGAAAGTGCAGTTTTTACGGGCTAAAAATTCATAACTTAAAGACTGTGGCTCTTTTTGAACCCGTTCTAGTGGCCAAAATTCCGTATTGACGTCATCTACATTTTCATCTCTCACGGCTGGAAGCCAATTTCGATCAGAAGGTCTTCAAAAATGCGGATTTATCAAGTATTTTCGTACAGAAATTTATTTGCGTCATGTTCATAAAATCATAACTTGGTCGATTTTCATCGTATCAAGTTGGTTCCGGTGCCAAAATTTCACAAATTGAGTTGGCTACGTTTTCATAAGAGGTATCGAGTTCGAACGTGTAGCGATAAAAAATGTAGCGGGGTAAATCGGAGATCGAATTATTGATTAATTCGTCTCGCAAAAGCAAGAGTCGCCACCGCGCTTTATTGTTTCCAAAGGAAAAGGGAAAAGAGCGAAATAAAACCCTAAATATGCGATGTAAATAAAAATACAAATACAAAGCGTTTTTGAAAAGAGATCTTATGGTTCGGGGGTTGGTTATACAATGGGAAGGTATTAGCACCCAATGCATCTATAGTACTCTATAGGAACCTTTTGAAATATCTGTTTTATTTAAAATTGATCGCTTGATTGAAAATAAATCGTTTTGGCCGAAAAAGGGATACGGACGGTTTTTTTGAAAATACGACGACCTAATGTCGAAGTTTTGGCTTAAAAGATATAAGTCTTGAAAAGGTTGAAATTTTGAAGTAATGTGAATGTTTGAGGAAAATTAACCTAAGTTTTTAATGAATGAGAGTATTCGCTCGATCATTTTTGAGGACATGAAGTCAACAAAAATTAGACAATTCCCTTTTGGATTGGTGCAAACAGGATAATCAAGTACGATGAAATAATTGACAGAAAATGATACACAACAATTAAGTGTGAACATGCATTTTTTATATGATTTTTGTTTAATAGGCGAAAAGAAAAAGTTTAATTGGTTTTCACTTTTTTTACGCATTTTTAATGATAAAAGGTAATGAGAATTAATAGAAATGTTTTTTAGGTTTTATATGTTTTTATTTTTTTATGTCTTTTTTTTTAGTATTAAATCAAAATGAGGGGAGTAAAATAAAAAATAAAATGTCTTTTAGTTTTCTCATTTTTACTTTCACATGTTTTTAGAGATATTAAATATTTGTCAAGTTAAATAAAACTTATAAGTCGAATATCTAATTAAAATAAAGAAGACTAAAGTTATTAAATAAACCTAAACTTAGATTAAATGAGATTTGGATAAAATATTAAAATTGTCTATTTAAAACCATATGTGTATTCCTAAAAAAACTAGTTAATCTAAATTAAATAAGTTAAGAAATGAATAGAATTAACTAAAGAGTCTATAAAGAAAAAGGGGTGGGAGTAGTAATTAGAAATGGGCTTTAGTTAAAGAGGAAATTGAGCATGGTTAAGGGAAATGGAACGGGTCGTGGAAAGATCCAGACCCAGGAAGAGAAAAAACAAAGCTGGTGCGAAGAAAACCTAGGAACGCCGGTGCCATGGCCGCCGCTGGAGATTGGTCGATGAGATAGCGGTTGGAGGATGGTTCGACGGATGATGAAAGGTGGTGGAAATTGAGGAGCGGTTCGATGACAGAGATGATGGTGATTTCGCTGTTTATGAAGGAATCGAAGAGAGGCTTGCGCGGAGGAGATTTTGGAGGTCGCGGCGAGTTGCGGTCGAGAAGAGGTGTGGCTCGGTTACAGATGGTGTTTCTGGCGAAGATGAAGGTTTTTCGGCGAGGAAGGGTTCTCCGGTCAAGTGAGTTATTCTAACCTTTTCTGTTTATAGTTTTTTTTGGATTTCTCAGTCTGTCAGTTTTTTTGTCAGTGCATATTTAATGGCTTTATACTTCTTAGATCTGGGGTTTGGGTATGAACAAACAAAGGGCAGAGATTGAAACTATGTTTGGGCCGCCAAATGTGATAATTGAGATGTTAATTTTTCACTTCAAAATCAGTCCGAAAATCCACCTCTGTCCAATAACTATTCTTGTTTTCAAAAGAAGTATTAGGCTAATGAATGTTATTTGGGCCTGAGATTATGGTTGAAAAAAATTGTTTTGGATTTGTGAATATTTGCTAATACACTTCTCATTTTCTCTCTTTTGTTTTCATTGTTGCAATGGGCATGTATTGAAGACTTGACGAAGGAGGAAGCCGTAGTAAAGCTTGAAGGCATGGCAAAGTTGCTGCCATCTTGATTAGTTATGCATTAGTTGAATGAAGAATATGGTTGCAAGTGAAATATCAACAACGACCCTTCGTAGTTACTTAAAATGGTGTTGAGTTCGTGAATTTTCTACTTCTCGCACATAATTCTTGATATTGAAAATACTTTTGTGTATGAAATAAAGGTTTTTTGTTTTTGATTTAAATCTGTAGTGATGTTGAAAGTTAAAGAGTGTGATTACAGAAGGAGATAATGATGGCGATGAATCGTAAAGTCCGAATGGGCAATTAAACAAAGGTTTGTGAATTTCTATATTATTTCAAGTTGGCTTAAAATTAACAGTGCTTATGTGATTGTGTATCGGTCTTGCAACATTTAATAAACTTGAAATTTATCGAACGAATTGTTGCCGGTGTTAAATAGGGATTGATGTATTGATGATTCGCAATGATATTAAATGGCCATTTTGCATGATTTCAGGAAATTAAAGAGAGTATTATTAAGTGAGACAAAGGCAACGCAACGGTATAAAGGTTTATGCGAAAAGCTGGAGAAACTCACATGGTCGGAGCTAGTCCGACGGTACGATTCCGGCGAAGTCAGGTAAGCTCCGAAGACTCCTCGCTCCTTGCTTTCTGCCACTAATTCTTCTCTTCTTCTTCGTCTAAAAATTGGTTGGAAATATGAATAATTGGTTTTTTGGTGGTTTTGGATTATACTGTTTTTTTATGGTTTTTTGTACAGTATGCAGGTTATGTTGAAAAATGCTAAGGTTTTGAATGTTTTGGTCTTTTGCTTAGTTTTGAAGTGATATCTTGTGTAGAGATATGCTAGCTTAGACTGGATAGTTTTGCAGTGATGTTTATGTGATTTGCAATATGCTATGCAAAATGGTTTAGCAGTAATGCAGGTTTTTGCAATATGCCGGTTTAATGGTTTTATGCTATGTAAAATGATTTGGCAGTAGGTTATGTTTTGATAGCAGTATGCAGGTTTGCAAATGCTTAGAGATGGTTTGGTGTAGTATGCTGGTTATGATAGCAGTATGCAGGTTTTTGCAAATGCTTAGAGATGGTTTTGTGTAGTATGCTGGTTATGATTCCATCCAGATATGCAAGCTTAGACTTCCTTTTGAAGGGGTTTTTCCATATAGCCGTTGCCTCTTTTTTGTGACTCAGGTTTTTAGTATTTTATTTTCTAATGCTCTGCACATATGCTGCTACAAGTGATTTTGACTTTATTCCCAATTCATGCTTAAATCAAAACCTGCAAAAACTAAACCTCTTCTTCTCTCTACCTCAAGTACATAAATGATACATAATGTGATATGTTGTACTGCTGTCTGAAAAAGCAAACAGGTTGGAATATGATGAATGAGGAAACATATATGCTTGCATACATAGTTTTAAAATTGCACATGTTTGAAATTGCATATTGTTGGAATTGCATTTTCTTTTGTCTTGCATTAGCCTATGTTATCTCCTATGTGGTGCAGGTTAACGTTGGCTTGTTATAAACTTGCATATGCTGTTTCATATGTTTTATGCAGCTTTGACCGAAAATGAGTTTATGCATATTTGAAATATGCAGTGGGTTTTTTTTTGATAAAAATGCAATTGATTTTGAAATGTGCTATTTTTTAATTGTGCATTCATTTAAAAATTCCTCTCTTTTTTGTGAACCGGGAGAAATCCCGTGATTTGCAAAAAAAGAGTAACTGATTCCGGCCATTGCTTTTAATGATGAACATTGAATTTATTTTCTGCATTTTAATTATTTATTCGAATTCTAATTTCTTTCTTTTAATCGTTTTTTTTTTTTGCAGGTAAAATTTAAATGAGCAGACAAGGAGTATTGGATAGAAGATTAGAATTAGAATTTAGGAAAATAGTTTTATTTTACTTTAAGCATTTATGTAATGGTTATTATAAATACTTTGTACAATAGTATTTAAACAACAATTGTAATAAATAGAATAAAGTGAATAAAAATTCTATTATTTCCCAATTAATTCCTTTTCTTTCCAATTATTTATTTATTGTTTATAATTCCTTAAATCATATAATGATTGAAAATCAAATCCAATCATTTAAATTCAGAATGACAAACAAATAAATAAACATCATTGACTAATCAACAAATTCAACTATTTAATTCATTATTCGTAAAATTCCAAATTATAATAATTAAAAATAGAATTTTAATTATTTAATCTAAAATGATAAAGAATTAAATAATCATTGTTGACCAATTAATAAACTCATTCTCAAATGCTTATTTCATTATTCATAAGTCTTTAAATTATATAACAATTGAAAAATAGATTCCAATTATTTAAATTTAAGATAATAAATAATTAATAAACGTCATTTAAATCTTGATCAGTTAATAAATTTAGCGTTCAACAAATAAACAGCTCCCGACTCGAAAAAGTTATGAATTTTTACACTGCTTTGAAAATTTGATAAAATATGTGAAAACCCTTGCAATGCGAATAATGCAGATGGAAGACGGTATCTTAGGTCAAAATTTGGGGTACAACAGCTGCCCCTATTTAAGTTCCTTCTATCCGGAGATATGAAGATTAAAGTCTTCGTCTCGACGATATTGAAGGTACTTAAATACATAATTACGCAAATTTTGTCCTAAGATGCTGTCATCATGCGGTGATATGAATGTAGTGTTGAATTCACAGAGAAAGATATTGTATGAAACAAGACAAATGTTGGAGGAACGAACGCCAACAAAACACAGCGGCATGAATTATACGCTACTGGGGAAAACGAGCTATCGACTTCAAACGACAGACTCCTGACAGCGAATAAAAACTGAGGGAATACGACCTCTAACCCTAACGAAGAGAGCATCTTGCATAGGCCATAACAGATTTGATCCAAAACAGTGAGTTCGCAACTCAAGGCCGATGGTAGACAGAGAGTATCAAATTGCTGATAACTGGTTACCGACTTCTGGAGGTGGAGATTCGTAACAGACTTCTTTGCTAGATTTTCAGAGATATACTCATTAATGTTGAGGTAAAGAGACTGTAGATACGAAGGTTGTTCAAATAAAGAAAACTGCCATTTGTCCAGAGAAAATACCGGTAACATACAAGTTGCTCAAATAAAGAGGCTGCCGCTTGCTGTCGTCCGAAGAAAATACCGATAACATACAAGCTGCTCAAATAAAGAAGCTACCACTTGCTGTTTTTCCAAAGAAAATACCGATAACATACAAGCTGCTCAAATAAAGAGGCTACCACTTGCTGTCGTCCGACGAAAATACCGATAACAAATAAGCTGCTCAAATAAAGAGGCTACCACTTGCTGTATTCCAGAAAAGTAATAACGTACTGGTAACTCATGAAGAGTTTGCTGCTTGTTGCTTTCAGAAAAAATAAAATGACGCATTAGTAGCTCATGAAGAACTGCTGCTCGGCGCTTCAGAAAAGATAAAATGACGCACTAGTAGCTCATGAAGAACTGCTGCTCGGCGCTTCAGAAAATAAATAACGCACTAGTAGCTCATGAAGAACTGCTGCTCGGCGCTTCAGAAAATAAATAACGCACTAGTAGCTCATGAAGAACTGCTGCTCGGTGCTTTCAGAAAAATAAATGACGCACTAGTAGCTCATGAAGAACTGCTGCTCGGCGCTTTCACAAAGATAAATGACGCACTAGTAGCTCATGAAGAACTGCTGCTCGGCGCTTTCACAAAGTCATAACTGACGCACTAGTAGCTCATGAAGAACTGCTGGCGTTTCAGAAAATAAATAACGCACTAGTAGCTCATGAAGAACTGCTGCTCGGCGCTTTCGAAAAGATAAAATGACGCACTAGTAGCTCATGAAGAACTACTGCTCGGCGCTTTCGACAAGTAAACGTACAAATTGCTCATGAAGAGCTACCGCTTGTCGTTTTCCAACATAATTCAGAAGGAAACTGCGATGATATTGGCAGAGAATAAAATCTTCATCAAAGAGAACCCTGAATCAATCCTTCCCGAGGAGATCATATATTTAAATGTGCAAAATAAATGCACCCGTCGTCTAGGTCGCAATTTCACTGGGGGGAAATCAATGAGATAGCCTATGCAAGAGGCAACAACTTCATCCAGGAATAACCAGAGATTAAACAGTCAAACAAGACTCCTCCCAATGAGAAAGTAAATCGATTGGGGAAATTATCCTATCCAGAAATGGACAAGGTAAGCTAAATCAAAAATCATCCACGAGGATTAGCTCAGTTGGGGAATTAGAAAGGAGGCGCACTTTCTGCTTAAGTTGACACCCTATTTGGAACGATCAAATACGTTATTTGAAAAGACACAACCAAGGTGTACGAATTCAAAGACATCAACAGATACAACTGTGCGTGCATGATGCAAGTGTGAATGAATGGCATGTGTATGCTGACAAAAACGACAGGGGAGATGGACAGAAGATGATAAGACATCACAGTACAACCCGACACTCGGCTAATTTCAAAAGGAGGGGAACATCACTGGAGATAGAAGATAAAAGCCATCAAAGGAGCAAAGTTATCCTACAAATCTCAAATCTCTTGGAGAGGAAGATATTTCGAGTAGAAAACCCAAAGTCCAGTCTTCTATCGTCGACAACCCAATGAAAGGATAACAACACAAACCAAAGCCTCAGCTGGAAGGAGTCAATGCCTAGCTGGAGATACCGGGAATACCACCCTCCGATAAAGTGTGCGATACATAACACACATTCTAACAAGTCTAGATTGCCCCTGGGACCAATTGGATGCCCCAAATTCACTGCTGATGAGCTACATGTTGCACGACAATTCTTATAAGTAGCTTCACTTCTCAAAAATGCCCCAAGCTATATGGTTGATAAGGAGAAATCGTCTCAAGAGGATTTTACAAAAGACCTGGCATTCACCATGCTCTGGTGTCTTCAAACTTTTAGAGGAGATCATCAAATCTCGACGTGATTGCCCCGGATTGACTGTAGTCGGCACAACAAAGTCTTCGAATTTTTGCCCCAATCGAGCAAACAAGTTGGGAAAAGCATTAATTGGGAGAAGCAACATGTTCGTGCTTAAGGTCTTCAGCTGACATGCCCCTGGATATGATTTTTCTTGAAATGATTCTCCAATTACTCAACATAGTTTCAAGCCTAAAAAGGGTAAACTCATCATTGGTGTTTTTGTGAGCTTCCTTGATATCGAACAAATGTTTTGCAGTTAGAAAAAAAAATTTACAATGAGAATGAAAATTCTAATGCAACAGTTATATAAGTCTTGAAGATTTTGAAAAGATATCGCACAAATTTTGCGAGTTAGAGCATCATTTATTTTTGTATAGGAAAAACATATGATACCAACATAACTATTTAGAACATTCATGGGAGTCAGGAACACTATCTCATTGAAGTATGTTTTCAGAATGACCTTGTTTCAATTAGGACTTTTGAAGGTTGTAATGTGGTCTGATTCATGGTTTTTTAGAAAAGATTTTAAGGCTCAAAATATTTGGTGCCCACCCACTCTTCATGATGTTCTCCAACTCTATGTTCGGTTAATTCAACATGAGTGTTCATCTCTCAAAGGATTTTGTGACGGTAACATCTTCCTTGCGAATTTTGAACACTCAATCAGACTAACTGAAAACTACCCTGCCCCAGGTTAAAATTCAAGGTTTTTTCGTATAGAAAAGAAACTTCTGCTTCAAAGGCTCAAAAGGGGTTAGCAAGGGATTATTTTCCTTATATCTCCGGTGTTTAGGGATTTGAAACAATGCCTGTACATCATCAACAAGATTTTATTCAAAAGCATGCAACCA